CACAATAAGCTCGATAATTGGCAAATATAGCATTAGGGACCAATGTGCCAATGAAAAATGAATAATAATTCTTCGCTTTGCGAAATAGCATAAACTTTTCTTTTTATCAATATATGCTTGCGGCATCGTAGGAGATATTCAATCACATGGAATTCGGATGACCAACTAGGTTGATTATATCTTAATCATTCATCCTTGAAAGAATTCCGTACTATATAATCGTTCTTATCGCGGCGATGAAACGGGCAATTTTCATGGATCTGACCATGCTATAGTTCCAGCCACGATCCGATAAAAATTGATAACTCGCAACAAACAACATCTCGCTGATCTTTCAACTATCTCAAACTGAAAGATTTATAAATAATAAGCATATTTCAAACCGAATTTTGTCCCAGATATAGCTGAATCATTCGTTGAGCCGTATGCTTGCAACTGCGAACCGCTAGAAGAAGTAATTTCTGTTATCCAGAAGCTTATAACCAATAAAACTCCTGGAGAAGATGGTCTTAGGGACGGATTCTCCAAATATTGTCCTCAGGACACTGCGAAAATTATCGAGGAATCAGCCTACTAGACGTCTCTGGGAAAATTTTTGTTTTCCTTGTGCTATGACAACACGAGATAGCAAAATGCGTCCTAACCAAGCTGGATTTAGACAGTTGTGCTGATTAGATATTCGCGTTAAGAAGGGTATTGGAATATCGCTTTAAATATCTACAATCCATCGTGTTGCATTAACTTTGCAGCTATTTTTAATTGAATTTCGAAAGAACGGCACTTTGGAAGGTGGTGGAACGCGACGTTGTTCAATTCATAAAGGTGTTTTCTCGGTACAAGTCTGTATATATGGCGAACTGGTGAGAAACCCGTTCGAATTAATAACTGGTATCCGTCAAAGCCGCGTCCTTTGCCCTATTCAATTAGAGTGGACTGGATAACGGGCATCGCTTGTCAGCACTCAAGAGATATACGAATCAATCTAGACCATCAAAAATCTTGAATACAGTAATGATATAGTCCTCCTTGCTGACAATTATGATGATGAAATGCAAATAATGCTAAACAATATGTCAACAACTGCAGTGAGAATCAGACTCAGATCAATATAAATAAAACGAAAACTTTTTAACCTTACAAAAAAGCTGATATTACCTATTTTTACCAATTCATTAAGGTTGAAGAAGTGTCGATTTTAGATATCTTGAATTCACTCAATTGGCCAGAACGAAAGTATGCCTTTTATATAACTGCAGTTCCATCAATCTTGCTTTATTGGCTATGAGGCGTGGCCAATGGGAGTGAAGGATTTTAAGATTTCAATTTTAACATATCTACACTCGACTACTCCTGTCAAAATATATGTTTTACGGATCCGTCGAGCGGATAAAATCGCATATTCACCTTCGCTCATATGCCACATATATTAATAATGCTATCACAGAGCGTCGCCTTCGCTGGTTAGGGCTCGTTCTTCGTCGTTCACAACAGGAACTGACATGTACTTCGTTACTGGCTAAAATCCTTGTGATGGATGACGTCAAAAGCGAGGTGGGCTGTTATAGTCAGAAAAGATTTTGAATGTATAGGTGGACCAGTGATATATGGACTTAGACGATGGAAAAAGAAATTTTGTCAGATCGAGCAACTTGGAAATATTTTACCTTTTTAGCCAGCAGACTCGCCTAACCAATAATAGTGAGAGTTGCTAGAAGAAAAAAAAGTTGTCATACTTTTTGGTGTAATTAAAAAAACAGTAATTGAATATTATCCCTATATATATCATTTTATCAGATATTTTAGGAAGTAAAAGCTTAACAAAATATAAAAAATCGAAAGAAACAGAAACGAAATCGTTGATTACAATTCTTTTATATTCATTTTTAATGGAAAATTAATGCCACTGAGTGGTAAGCATTAAAATGTTCCATTAAACGAAATTTATTTGATGTGGTATATTCATTCGCTCGCATTTATTTCCTTTTGAGGTTCAGAGATTGGAACTAAAAAATAGGCGTAAAAATTGAACACTTAAAAGCATTTCGCCGTTTTCATAGAAACAAATTTGCTACTTTATTTATATTTATGAGGAGACACACAGCTTTTAGACATTTGTGGCTTGAAATTCAGAAGCGATCAAAACCAAACATATATTGTTGTCGAAAATTATTTATTGCCTTGTACTCTTGCAACTATGTCCATTAAAATTAAAATGTCCATTAAAATTTTGTAGCTCAATAACTTTATTCAATTATCCTTGCTATGATAAAAAATTGTAATTTTTAAAAAAATTTTTCATAAAATTTTTTCTATCTATGAAAAAAATCATTCAGTTGGCTGCAAAAGTGGCGTGTACGGACCGCAGCGTTAGTTTTTTCAGAAATTTCTAGCTTCTGGCATTGAGCCAATGACAGAATCGAATTCGTTATCGATATTTCGCTTGTATTTATTAATGAGTATTCGCATGATTTCTTTCTTTTTGAGTGTTGATGTTCGGTTCCAAAGGCTTTTTTTTGTTATCATTAATCAGTTGCGATCGGAGGTTGTCTTCGCAGCACATTTATGGTGCAGAGAGGTCAGAAAACTGCATTAATTCGACCAAGGCTGAGCCACCGTAAAATTAATTTCTCTCCCTTTATGGGAGCAAAATTTTCATCAAAAGTAAGGTGTTCCGCTCGCAGTCGTTTCGCCAGTTGTTAGAAAGGGGTTTTGCAGGCAAAAAGCGGCTTGGGTTGTTCGATCCTTTCGCCATAGAGTTACTTGGAAATCGAGCCACAAGTGGATCTCCAGCAGCCACCAAGAAAACCTTTACTCTAGGACATGTAAAGAAATGATGAAAGTTCGCAATTATAAAAACTGCGAAATTTCCAGAAATTTGTTAAAAGTAGTCAATAAAGTCAGGCAATGCAGAATGTTGAACGGTGTTAAAAGGAGATACTATATTTATGATTGGCTGAAATATATCCGTTTAACCGCCGCTTTTCGAGAATTTCATTCCTATCACATCTTTATAATTTTTTTCCTTTTTGGCTTAAAACCAATGGAAGAATGTAGGCAAAATGTTAATGTTGCTAGATTATTTGGAGTTTTGCCGTCGTTGGCAAAATTGTGATATTAAAGAAATTTATATTTATTCAACAACTTCTTGTTTATTCTTTTCCATTTGAATAATTTACTTTCATTTTAACAGCACAAATTTAATTATGATGAAATACACAGCTGTTCAGAAACAGAGGTTTGTTGCCTTCACGGCTCTGTACATCATTGGTAGGGCATCATGTTCGCAATTTATTAGCTGCAAATAACTGATCATAACCATCTTTTTATATACCTTAATTTAATATACTTATACTATATACTTTTTATATACCTTAATTTAACACTCATTTGAACACTCATTTTTGCAGCTTTGCAGATATGTTTTTGAATATATTTTATTTAACTGTATTTTTATTAATTATTAACCTTTGCTTAGTATTTTTATTGATTTATTAGTTATAATAATATTTCACAGTTAACTTTGCATTCTTCATGTAAGACATATTTAACTATAAAATAGTTCATATTTTGTTTTGCTTTCTGGTTTTGCACTTTTTTTTGAATTAGTCTTTATGGCTGGGAAGGCCCATTAATATTCATTTATTTGTTCTATTTAATATTCCAGACTGCAAAAATGATGAAAAGCCGTTTATTCGCCCATTATGGTCGTTTGGCATTTCGAGCTGTTGTAACTGGTGGTGTATTAATTGACGTGGCACATACTGAATGTCGACCGTCTGTATCGACGAATCGCTTTTATGCTGCTGTTTCGTCAAATTCAGTTAATGAACATGATCACAAAGTTCATACAAGTTGTTGTGGTTTCCCAAAGAATTTAATTGGTGGCGCATCAATGGTGCTGGATCAAGGTGTTATTGGAGAGGATGCTTGCTTTATTGCAAGAATTAACAACACATATGTTGTTGGTAAGCCTTTCATAGATGTTTTTGCTTCGCATATTTTTAATTCCTTTTGCTTTCTTCTTTTGGCTTTTTTGCAGTGTTATATCACTAATTATTTATGAAATCCGTAATTGTTCATTTGTTCAAAGAAATAGCTGAGAAATATGAACGCTATTTTATTTATTCTATTTTATTACGCTATTTCTGCATTTATATATTTTTCTTCGATTTCAGTAATTTTTAAATTGTTAAGGAGTTGCTGATGGTGTCGGTGGATGGCGTAAATACGGAATAGATCCATCTGAATTTTCCAGTCGACTAATGAATATATGTTCAGATATAGTCCGAAAAGGTTTCTTTTTAACGAAAGTTTTGATCATATGCTCTTCATTTTTAAGTTTTTCAATTATCAGAAGAATACTTTTTAGATATTAGAAGATAAATATGATCAAGAAAGAGGGAAAATTAAAATTAAAGAGAAGGAAGTTAAAATTAAGGTTAAAGTTAAAAGAGGAAATTAAATAAGATTTAAATAAGATTTTCACTTCGCTTTTATTACATTTCATCAATTAAAATATTCAATATCCAGTATTCAATATCCAAAATTTTAGCTAAACTGGTCTTTTTTATTCTTTTTTGCCTCATAAGGCGATATAAGTTTTTTTCTAAAAATGTTCACCATTTCTGGTTAGAATTTGAAAAAAGAATTTTGCCAGGAGTCATTTGATTAAAAATAAAGTAAATCGCCAGCACTATCCACGATAGTATTTGCTTATATATTTAATAACAATATTTAATAGGCAATAAATAAATTCGATCATATTGTTTCATATCATACATTTTTATTGAAAGATCTGTTTTAACTATTTTTATTTAGGGGAGTTCGAACCGATGAGGCCAGATCTTTTATTGGCAAAAGCCTTCGAAACGTTAGCACTGCCACCACGCCCTGTTGGTTCATCTACTGCCTGCGTACTAATTGTGCATAGAGGCATGTTACATTCAGCGAATTTAGGCGATTCTGGATATCTTGTTCTTCGCAAGGGTGAAATTGTTTACAAAAGCCGTGAGCAGACGCATTATTTTAATGCACCTTTTCAACTTTCGTTGCCTCCGGAAAACTCGCCATGTAATATTTTTTTTCTTATTTCTTCATGTTTCTGTTTTGTAAAGTCCACGTTGTCTCTGAAATTATTTTTTTCATTTTTCTTATAAAACGATGTGGAAAGTAATTATTATATATTTAAATTAAACTTAGATCCCTTCATTGATATAAATTATTGCAAAAAGTAGGGAAATTCATGGTTGGAATTTGTTATTATTGATATTAAATAAAGGCAGTTTCTGATTGATATTGATACAATCAGTGTTTTTTTATGAATTGCGCCTTGAATTATTAATGGCATCTTTGCAGTCTCCGGATTTATCGGCGATTCACCGGATATGGCTGAATTGCACAGTATAAGTTTAAAGAGCGGTGATATAATCGTTTTGGCAACTGATGGGTTGTGGGATAATGTTTCCGAAAATCTTATTGTTGAACAGCTCAAGGATATTCAGCCTGGGGATCTGCAGGTATTTTTATTTTTTCCCAAAGGCCAATATTAATTTCATTTTTTTTTTCTAAACAAAGCTTATAATTTTGCAGTTCATTATGGAGTAGGGAATTTTTTAATAAATTCGGAATTTGATTTCATTTCATTATTTCAGTCCGCATGTAATTCATTGGCACTTTCCGCTAGAAGGTTAGCGTTTGATACACGGCATACATCACCATTTGCTGTTAAAGCTTCGAAGCATGGAATTGATGCACCTGGTGGTAAACCTGATGACATAACTTTGGTACTTTTACTGATAGCATAAAATTACACGTCTCATTAATTCATTGATAATTTAACTCTTAAAAAAGCTTTATCATCACAACTTTTTTATTTTGTTAAACTGGAAATGATTAATGCATTAAATAAATTTCATACGTTAAAAAATTTGTATATTTTGCTACATTTAAAGCAATGCTAAAAATTTATATCCTTACGAAAGATCGATTCTATTTGACGCAACTTTGTTTATAATTTGCTTTCAGTTATTGTAAAATAATAGTTCTTTTGTTTATCTTTTTATTCAAATTTATTTTCAAATATATTGAATAGAATAAAAGTAAACGAATAAGTTTTTTAAATTAAATGGTAGAATAGCCACAGTTGGAGAAATTTTATTTGAAATTCGATGACAACGTATGTTCGGTAATTAGTGGAAAAGGAAATTCACACAATAATAGACGCAAAACACCGATAAAAAGGAGAAAAATAAGAGCCAAATTCTTTTTGAGCCAAGAGAGTAAGAAAAAGCTTTCGTTATCCTTGAACATTTTTTCGTTTTCGCATTGAAGACACTTATTATTTATATATACATTTACACAGTTTATTACTTTAAACTTTAACCCCTTTTGAAATAATAAATATTTAAGCGATAAAAGTCATAATGGGGTTATAGTCGAATTATACAATAAAAAAGTCTTAATATAATAAACGATCACGAAAGAAAGATTCCACAAAAAAATTTTCTTTTTATGTTACGAATGAACCGAAGTTTGATAAGGCAACCACTCGGCTCCTCGATATAAGAATAATTATAAAAATCACTAATGCATAGCTACAAGTAATAAATAAATAAATTATGAGATTTAAAGAATAAAGAAAAGCTAAAATATTGATATTTTATCTAATTGCTAAAGGAGAGGGTTGTTTAGACAGCTAATGGTGCCAGAGACCCAATGCAAATCCCAATATATAAATATAAATTTCAATATATAAATATTCAATATATATTCAATTTCATTTATATATTGAAATTCCAATATATAAATTTCACAGTAAATTAACGAATCAACATATATTTGATCCGCTGTCTGGTCGCTATCGACGACATGAGGCCTGAAAATATGAAATCACGACTCACCATACTGGACCCCTTGATATCCCGCTGGATGTGTTATATTTCATAAAAAACATTCCATATATTCTTAAATAGCACTCATATAATTTAAATCCTCGTCATAAGTCCCTTAAATTCCTTTTCGCTTCAATCAGTCTGAGACCTAGTTGTAACTTTGTATTTCTCTTCTATTTCTCAAGCCTCTTGGGGTATTTTATGATGTGTCATAACCACAGATTACCAAATCATAGAAGATAATTTGGAATTTGGAATGAATGTTAAAGCTGCAAGAGAAGGTTGTTAAAGGTGAATGGAGAATAACGGTACTTGGAGAAAGCACTATTGGCACTAAGCACTTTTGAAGAGAGATAATTTTCAATAAAAAATTTTGAAAGAGTGCGGTAAATTCCAACTCGAAGACTGTTCTTTACGATGGTATCTTTATATAAATAAATTTTAAAAATTTGTGGAGTCTTTTAAAAATATTACAATGCAAAAGAATATGAAATGACAAAATATATAAAGATGACAAATATCTGTCGAGATATAACGATGTAAAGATGAAAGGATTAAATCCTTTCAGGCATAATTCTAAAGGAATGTAAAGATTTTTGACTTATTTTAAATTACAATTTAGGCTTTAAAGGTTGATTTTCAATTTTTTTCAAAACTTTGAATCGATGCAATAAAAAATATGTTGGTAATATTGAGAGACTTCTACTCTTCTAACAGCACTCACCATTAATATTTAGATCGACTCCACTGGCTATCAGACGTCTCCAAGCGTGATCTGATATCATCGTCGTCACTAATAGGAGCCATTTCCTTTTCCACCGTCTAAGTCCATATATCGCTGGATCTTCTTTACGTTCAAAATCCTTTCTGACTGTATCAGTCCTGCTCTTGATTGGACCACATCACTTTTTCACGCCACGCTACGCGTTACAGGGTTTATCTAGCAATGAAATATGTTAGCTCTTGTGGTGTGCGATGAAGAACGTTTCCTTACCAAAGAAGATAACGTTGTATGATACTATTAATGCAAGCGATATTTCAGTGAAGATGGATGTAACCATGTGGGATTTTATCCCCTTGACGTGCCCGTAAAATACAACGTAGACATGAATGGTCAAAGGAAGATAACTTTTCCACTTTTATCGGCCATGTCTTGCAACCATATAGCAAAATCGAGCGAATCATAGCTTTATAGACGTGGACTTCCGTTTTTATAGTGATTTCGCGATAGTTCTATAAAGATTTCGCTAATGGAAAAAAAACGCATTTCTATCTATCTATCCGTTATCGGAAATATAATTTCGTATTTAGCCTGGCTATTTGGGATTAGAGTGGATTAAAGATATTTAAAATACATTTAAAATTTGTGCACTTCCCCAACAACAAATTGATATTTTATCAGGCGAAAAGACTTTGGTTTTATTAACATTTACCCTGAGAATTCTCATTTTCGCAGTTGTTGACACATTGTTTAGCATTATTTGCATTTCGTCACAGTCAAAAAAAAACTGTATCATTAGCGTAATCTGAGATCCTATGGACTGATTTGCGCATCTCTTGAGTGCTGACAACCGTGTCCATTATCCAGTCTATCGCATAGTTGAATAGAGAAAAGGACGTAATCTTTCGAAAGGGCCTCTCGCCATATATACAGACTTGTACCGACGTATGTTGAGAAAACACCTTTATGAATTGAACGATCTTTTCTGGCACACTGTCGCGTTCCACAACCTTCAAAAGTGCCGTTCTTTCGGAATTCAATTAAAAATAGCTCAAAGTTAATGCAACACGATGGATTGTAGATAAAGCGATATTCCAATAACCTTCTTAACGCGAATATCTGATCAGCACAACTGTCGGTCTAAATCCAGCTTGATTAGGACGCATTCTACTATCTTGTGTTGCCATAGCACAAGGAAAACAAAAATTTTCCCAGAGACGTCTAGTAGGCTGATTCCTCGATAATTTTCGCAGTGTCCTGAGGACAATATTTGGAGAATCCGTCCCTAAGACCATCTTCTCCAGGAGTTTTATTGGTTATAAGCTTCTGGATAACAGAAATTACTTCTTCTAGCGGTTCGCAGTTGCAAGCATACGGCTCAACGAATGATTCAGCTATATCTGGGACAAAATTCGGTTTGAAATATGCTTATTATTTATAAATCTTTCAGTTTGAGATAGTTGAAAGATCAGCGAGATGTTGTTTGTTGCGAGTTATCAATTTTTATCGGATCGTGGCTGGAACTATAGCATGGTCAGATCCATGAAAATTGCCCGTTTCATCGCCGCGATAAGAACGATTATATAGTACGGAATTCTTTCAAGGATGAATGATTAAGATATAATCAACCTAGTTGGTCATCCGAATTCCATGTGATTGAATATCTCCTACGATGCCGCAAGCATATATTGATAAAAAGAAAAGTTTATGCTATTTCGCAAAGCGAAGAATTATTATTCATTTTTCATTGGCACATTGGTCCCTAATGCTATATTTGCCAATTATCGAGCTTATTGTGACGGCATCGTAACCTACACATTCCAGTCTCCTCTAATTATAGCCATGTTATTTTTCGTTAGAGATGTTGTTGCCAGTTGAAGTTCCGTATAGAGTTATCCTTATCGCGATCATCTTCAGGCAAATTTAGAGCATATACACTGATGACCGAGATATTGCAAAACTTACCTTCATGGGCCATACGATTGCTTACCGGTTTCTATTTAAACAAAGTGGACAATCGTTATGCTACCTCGCCTCGACACCGAGACACCACAGAATAGAGAAATCAAAAATTAAATTAAAGGGAAAATAAATTTAAATAAAGAGAAAAAAAATTATCGCTTGAATTACTTTAATGAAGCAGTTAGTAGACGCGAAGCCATAGCTCGTTGATTTGAATGATTCTTGCATGGTGGAACTCATAATACTTTTAAGTAGGAATGATTGCAGGAAGGAAAAATAATTATTCAAATGCTATTCGAAGTTTCCTATTTTCAGGGAAAGAGGCTTAATGATTTTATTTATATATTGTTTGCTGTTTGCATTTATGCAGTCAACATTCATAGAATGCAGATTATCGAGAATCGCGCAAGGGATAATTGTTCAACCACGTTCTTTTCCATATGTTACTATGATTGATGGATTAGAAATAAGTAAACTATAAAATAATCCGTATTATTCCTTTCTTATATTTTAAGGAATTTCAAAATATTTTAGGAAATGAATTAATTTCGACAAAAAAGGAGAAATTTAGATAATTAAATTCTGTGAAATATACCAACCCCCGTTTAAAGCATTTTGTCGTTGAGGAATAATTCGATTAGAATGCAACGCAACATTCTCGAATTATTTATAATAAAAAAATGTGTAGAAAACATGACAAAAATTTTATAAAATAATCGACACATAACAATAAAATAATGTAGAAATTTAATTTAATTTAGAACTCAATTAAATTTAATTTTCAAATTTTGTAAAAGAAATATATGTAATAAATATCGAAAAAAAGAAATGAATTATAAATTATAAACATTTTTGTCTGCGTCCTTTTAAGGCATCTATGATAGGCAAAATTATCCTTGTGATGGTGATCTATTTAATTTGATTAAGAGAGAAGCTATTCCAGGAGATCAATTCCTTGGAAATTTTCGTTGTACGGGCAGTTTACTTTCTCGCTCTGTCATAATAACTGCTGCTCATTGCTTTCCGCACGATAAGTAAGGCAAAATTCTGGAAATCATCTTTTTTACGCACCTCAACTACATTATTATTTTATCATTTTTCGTTAAAAATTTGCCTAGAGAAATTTCTTTATATCCTTTTATAGAAGCGTAAAATGGTCTCTACCTTTTGCAAATTTTTATTCAAATACGATGCATCCAACCGACGAACCTTATCTATTAGAAAGAATCAAGATTGTCAAACACGTCTTAAAAAGGAATCTCGTATGCATTCATTTCTTTTATATCATAGCCAAATAGGGATGAACGATAATTGACTTCGATAGGTAAGTGGTGGCTTCGATGACTATTACGGCTGGGAATTTTGTCCTTTCTCTTGAGGTACAAATGGATAATCGGAATTTTATCTAAATATTCAGTTTCGTTCCTATCAATCGTAGGAATCGAACCTTTTCTTCTCAGCTGAATCAGTCTGCTATTCTCTATCTGGTTTTACAAATATCTTCGTATTTCTCCACCTTTAAAATTAAGCATCAGAATAGCGCATTAAAATTATTAAAATGATTAAAATAGCCGATTAATATGGAATATAACAATAACGGCTCGAATCGCAGCTAATCCTCTCTACCTTTTCCACAAAGCTCCTTGAGCGAGACTCCTTGAAAATGCCTAACCTCAATCTTTCAGGTCCTCTGACAGAGGACCCGAGGTTTTGGATATTATCCACAGAGGATGAGAAGGAGATAAGCATTGGGCTAAAGTGATTAATATGGCATGGGAGAACAGGAATTCGAATCGCAACCAATCCTATTCTTTCTGATGAGGGTCCTTTGTGCAAAAGCCCCAAAAATCTGTCCAACCTTAAATATAAGAGTCTTACACATTGTCGACGATGGCGTCAGATCACACTGATTGGAAATGCCTTACCCTTGTAGCCAGTGAAGCCAGCGATGGTGCTAACTGTTAGAAGAAGAAGAATACTGGAGTTATGCCAGCTCTGACCTCGTCCGGATTAAAAAGGCCCGCGTTAGATGTTGATACCTAGGATGATAATGCGCAACACAGCGTCAGGTGTTATGAGACCAGAGTAATCTGGCACTAAAAGTATTAATTAGGATGGAACGTTATATGAACGAGATAAGATAATCTGGAATTAATGGAATTCTATTAAAATAGTAGACCCAGTAAAACAAAATATATTATGACGTATAAAGGAACTGTGAGTGGATAAAGACCTCATCCACTTTGACTGAGAAATATAGTCGCCCAATGTTTCAACATCAAAGAAAGCTGCTTTTCGGAAATTGATCATCTCTTTCTATACTCCGCACTATATCCAGGACCGAAACACAATATAGATTTGTGTTGATAGCTAAAACACTGCACAGGGCCCTCAAGTTCTCAAGCTTCTGGTAAAGGAGCCGAGATCGATGATGACCCATATTACCAACACAGCGTATTTTTTTTTTTTCAAATTTCACAGCTTCGTTATCATATTTTATGGGGATTATGAAATTTTTGACGAAACACTATATTTATTGTATTAAGCAATTTAATAATACCCATAATATATATATATATATATATATATCTAATAAATCAACTGGATATCGATGAATCTGAGAGACTGCAATTCGGCGAATCAAATTAGAAGCAACGTTTGTATGAAAAAAAAGCAAATTTTTAGACAAAAATATTCCATCCTTATGCAATTGATATTGCTATAGCGATAATGAAAAAACCTGTTCCCGTATGCGAATCGAGATTGGTGAGGAACTATTCGATAATTAAACTACCTGTGGAGAACATCAACGCTGTTGATTGGAAGCCTATCACTGACAAAATTGTTAATCTGCCATGCATTAGCGTTGGTTATGGAGAAAATGATAGAGGTATTTTCATCATGCTTTATTTTCTCTATTTAGGCTCTCGCATTATTTTCCCTTTAAAATTCAACTGAGATCGCTTCAGGTAGAAATTTTAGCGTACAGAATCGCACTAAAAATCCATTTGTTCAAATACTGTGGTAGTAATTGACTTCTCATTCTAACACTCATCGTTTTTGGTTTGGCTGACATAATTTGCTAATAAGATGAGACATTTTTGTCAGAGATTCATTTCGAGACAGAAATACAGATAGGTAAGTTAATTCGGACTTTTAACGATAGATTTACTTCCACCGTTGGCCAGAAATTGCAATTAGGATAATTTAAGCTTTGATAGCTTTGATAAATACTTAATATTACATCAATCGCATAGGGCTTCCATATTTTAATTTGCTTTTTTTAAGAATAAATTTTTTTCAGAGATAAACTAAGTCAATCTATCATCGCTTTTTTGAAAAATTCGCCTGAAAATTGAACACCGCCTTTGTCGCGCTTAATATGGGATACTTAGGAAATTGTAAACCACAAAAATTCCTTAATTAGGCAGAGGAATAAGAAAAGTATGAAATATATATATTCTTAAATATATTCTTAATATTATAGGAATGGACTCATTTCTTCGTATTTTGCGTCATTTAAAATTACAAGAAGGTGGATCATATATTGTAGCACCGCTACAATCAAAACATCATCTAGGCCGTATTTGTGACGTATGTCCGCGCTTTCTTTGAAATTTCATCAGTTTAAATAAATGTTTACCAGGTTTCAGTATTTATCATTTCTCGTAGGCTCACTCAGTATTGTTAGTATTGTTATTTTTTTTTGGATAGCACTCACCACTCTTGCTCCATTGACTTATCGGTCCAAACAAATTTTGCTAGCGAATCATTTCGCGAAAGTATATAGAAATACTTGGAATCGTGAGCATCACTAGGGTTTTTAACAAGTATATCCTGTCATATGTAGAACTCGGTTTCAAGGAAATCTATTGAGTCTATTCTATTCTTCATTCTTTTTATCCTTTCGTAGTTCAGTAACATTACCGCACGAGGAAACATGGTGCGACGGCTGAATTCGAAGTCGAGCCATTGTAACTGACAATTATCGTCTTACCAAGCCATCTTGTGCTGTTAGATATTTGGAGCACGAAGTCTTTCGGAGACAAACGTACCAGTGGACCTCGAGCATTTGGATTTTAATATCTACTTATTCATGATAGTCTTTGAATCTTGATACTTAAGCCACTAATCTGAGCAATAATCTAGCTTATGCTGTCTCCAATTTCAACATCTTAAGTAATAAAAAATTTTGGAACAACACCAACTATAAGCAGTAACTGATGTACTTAGGGTGATTCTGGCGGCCCACTCGTGTGTACTCGCAATGGAACAGATAACCGACTTTTTGGAATCAATGATTTTTCGTTACCAAATCCTTTCACTGTACAGTTGGAACCGGTTTATTATCGACACTGTAATTTTGAAGTAGGCATTTCTTTTAACGCGCGCTGGATCAATGATGAAATTTTTTAATATCCAACTTTAACTATAATTGATATTTTTATCGAATATCCTCAAGCAATCCTTGAAATTTTAAAACCATCTCCGTTTAACTGTTTCCACTTTATACAAAAATATTTCAGAAAGCAGCCAACTTATTCGACTTCGCACTTGATATTCGACAATCTTTACCACAAATCCGTGAAATGCTCGTTACTTTGGGAAAGCTCGAAGAAGTAATCGAGGATACTTTAAAATGTGATCACTGGCAACTTTCTAAACAATCAATGGCAAATCTCTCTTAGTTCAGAAATTCATAAAATTTTGTATCTTCGAACGACTGAAAATCATATTTTATGAAAATTTGTGAAAATTTTGAAAATTTAAAATTTTCGTACCGCTTCCACATATTGAAAGATTTTATTAAAAGATGCAGTAATAATTGATAACTCAATTCTCTAAATTTATAAAAATCTCGAAAAAAATCTCTTGCTGATAGGACATAAAATATTTTGGTTTACTAAAATGATTGAATATAACAGCAGTTAAACGTGGTAAACATTCTCATTTACATCGCCTGAATGATTTGCCCCCTCTGCCCCCTCATGCTAATGTTATTTATTGCTTGCCAACCATCAAATTTATTAAAAATCTACTAAAATTCTAACAGAAATAATTACAGCAAAAAAATTTTCCGAAACCTTGCCTTATTCAAAGAAAAAATCACAATCAAATTGTAAAATAATTCATTCATTTGCAAGAATTTTTATAAATTTCCATTTACTTAAAATAAAATAATTTTTCAAAAATATGCAAAAAGCTTGCAGTTTCTATGAAAACAATACAACAATCGAAATATATTTCATAAGCAGATATTAATATACTTGAATATATGCAAAGAAACAATCTTAATGAATCTCTTTAACCATTATGAATCTCCAAGTTTTAAAGCAGGAGATGTCAACTGACAATCATGAACCATACTGGGATCAAAACGAGGTTTTTGGACGACCATCTAAAACTATAAAGTTTATAAAATTACAATGATTAGCTTTAATGAAATAAGAGAGTTACATTTTTATCACAAATTTTTAAAAAAATTTACATATGATCCAACTTTTGTATCATCAACATTAACGATTTCTGATTCATCAGATAAATTCGGTGAATCTTCACTCTTATTATCCAAGAATTTGTGAAAACTAGATATGGAATTAAAATTACGTCGAAAATCACCACCAATTTCAGTATAAGAAAAATCCAACTTCTAAAATTCGCTTTTTAAAAACTGCTTTTTTAAAATTCGATTTTTTTTATATTCCTTTTTCTCTAATTCCAAAAACAATAACATTCTATGAAACTTCAATTTCCCATATCTTAAGAGATAAAACTTTGATGGCGCCATTTATATTGCTGTTAATAAAAAATATCAAATCAATGAATATTGTTTTAGCAGATTCTATTAAATATTATTTTATCAAAAAATAGCCATATAAAATAGACAAACCTGGGCATTTCTATTGTAACAGATATATCTTGTTCCCTCAGGACTATAAGGATGTTTTTCGATCTTAGAACAATTTTTAATTTTGAAACTCTGATTAATGTTCAACATGGAATGTTGATTTTCAACCATAAAGCCAGTTCTCTAAAGTTATAAAATTTTTTAAATAATTTTAAATAAAGTGGGCAAATGAAATATTTACTGTATTATCAAAAAATACCTCATCCATTAAAAATGTTTGTAAGGGCTCATCAATAGCTTCATGTTCACCGATATGATAATTAAGTTCATCTTGATTAGATGCCATAAATTTGCAACCAACAATTGAGCATTCGTATAAACGATTGCCAGAAGGTATACTTGGGTTAACCGAATGAAGGGATTCTAATTTCTGCAAAATTATTGCATTGAACATTTAAAATTTAAAAGTACTAAAATGTAAAATAAATGGGAAAAAATTTTTTGAATTATTAGTTTTTGGAAATCATAATCTAGAAATACGATACGTAAGTTTTAACATTTTCGATTTGAAAAAAAATCAACCTGATATTTTTCGGAGGTCTGAGTATCTAGAGAATAATGCGAAGCGAAATCGCGATTTGCGCGGAATTGATTGGTGGAATCAGAACCTAATGTATCCTCATAATCACTATTTTCAGCCATTATTGATATATCCTTCAAAAAAATTAAATTAGAATAACAATTAAAGCCAACTTTAAAAAAAGAAAGTTATCGTAGCCGAAAGATTTAAAGATTTATTGATATTTAAAGATTTTGTTAGCCATGAAAAAATCAATGAGGGAATTAAATCATCGCTTCAAATTTAACAACCTAAAAATCTGTTCCTCCCATTATTCCAAAAATAACTAGCGCAAAAATAAATCTTTTTCATTCAATCTTTTTCTTCAATGAAAAACGATGAAAAAGACTTAGAAAGATACTTCGCCGTATGGAACATCATTACTGGAACATACAAATGAATCTCGTTGAGTCACATCGTGATCGCTAAACGAATTAATTTCGACATTTAATCCACATAGAGATCTATTCTGATCTTTCTTGAAGCATGGTACTGATTCGATGTTATCAACGGAGATTGGATTATCGCTCACCGCTCTATTTCCGACTACTCTTCTAACTAACCGTCTGAAAAAAATTTTTGTTTTGTAACTATAAAAAACTACGTAAAAATATTCTTATTTTTGTTACATCATATATAATTAGTAAAAAGGTGGACAGAATTAAAAAAATAAAACTAATGATAGTAAAAAGACGTATTATTATTTAATACCATTTTGGTATTAACTTCTCGATCAAGCTCCTTCTCCATTCGTTCCTTCATTATACTTTTTCACCATAACTAATTTATGTCATTTTCTCATGTGTTTCCCTCATATTTACAAGCATATGAGAAGCCAAAAGCAGTCAAATAAAATTTCAACTGATGTTTTGTTGAAGTTTGCTCGAATAAGGAATAGAAAAAATAAAAAGGAAAGAAATATTTTGACAAAAAAGATTAATATCACACTTTTTATAATGAAGATCTATTTAAAAAAGTTGCTCGCGGCCTAAAGGAAGTATAATTAAGCTTGCTAGTAAGAAGTCATAAGGATCTTGGTTACAAAGGAATATAACTGCATTTGAGGTTTTAAGGGGATGTTAATATCGTATATCAAACGCAAACCTAGTGATGTTAAGGGACCCATAACTATATCTGGGAGAATATAATAGTACAACAGTATATAATATAACAGAATAATACAATTTAAGAAGACTGAGAGGTTAAAACAGAAAAGTATGGCGCGGCTTAATATTAAAAAAAAATAAAAAGGATGAATCATAACTGGACCTGATGTATAAAAGGATTTAAAGGATAAAAGGAAAGGGTTTAAAGTAATGTAATTAAAAGATTATAGCACAACAGCATGGCGAAACTCGGCGAATCGTTAAAAACGAACTTAATGGTGCTTGAGAAGCTAAAAAAGTTTTTTCACTGTTGGATGCTTTCCGAAAAAACGTAGGAATTTCTCTCAGTTTGTCGAATTAAAAGATTTAATTTATACTTTTAAGATTCTGTATGGCTATGTTAAACTAGATTGTTCAAAATATTATAATTTCAGGCCAAATTTGAATTCAACAAGAACTAATGGGCTAAAATTACTAAGACCTATGTGCAAAAATAAACTAAGGACTCATAAATTCTTTATTCATACTATTAATTACTGGAATAAATTACCGAACGATATTGTGCGTCATCCTTAGCTATCTTCAAAAAAAGATTAGATAATATGATTAGAATGATTAGATATAAAAAAGATTAGATAATACAATTTATGATTTATATCATTTAAAATGTTCACATCATGCAGGAAGTGTGAAATCTCGATTATTTATAATACATTTACCATCCGATTTACCATCAGATTTATCAGATTTACCATCCGATTATTTATAATACAGTTTTTTCGAATCGTACTGTATACTCTTATTTAGTAATTTTCTCTTTATTTCCTCTCTAAATTGTTAATTTTTGTCATATTTTCTTTTTTATCATTAATTGTTATTAATTATTTACCCGTTGTTATTAATACAAGCACATGGGGTTTGTCGCCCTGCTTGGCTGATTTTTTTTTCAATAAATAAATATATGGGAAATCATCAAAAAAAAATATCTCGGGATATCAAAGGGTTAGAGTTTATTTTTGAAAATTAAATTATTCTTTAAAAGTGAGCATCATTCGAATTCAAACTTCCAATTTAACAGCACAATACACAAATGTAAAATAATGAACCAAAATACCAAAATATTCTCACACTGAAGCCATTTTTTTCTTTTCCAGAAATACCACACCAATTAACATAGCATATCAAATAACACAAATTACCATACAAATAATATGCCTACGAGTTTGAAATAACGCACTCACCGTCTGGATAAAACTGAAGCATGATCAGCTAGAGGATTATTTTCGAACCCACAAATATGTGGAGTCTTTGGATAATCCGGATGGACTATAAAACGACCATCACGTACAACAATCCGAGCAGCTGGTGGATATTCAACTGGCGGACTGCAACGTTTGCCACTATCTTTCAGTTTACGACATAGAACACAAGTGTAATATTTGGAAATGTCGCTAGATGGTGTTTTTACGGACCATTCCGAAATTTTATTCGGATAACGTATACTCTTGAAAAGGATTATTGTGTTCCGACGTTTATTTGATAATGCTTCAAGCGTCACTGGCCCATAATCTGTATTTGCCTGGAAATAAATTTCCTAAAGGATATCGAAAATGACAACCAAACAATACTTTTTTTCTATAAAAATTTTCTCAATGAAAATTCTCTTAACAAAAATTCCCTGAAAATTGTAAATTCTGTGAAAATTCAACTAGAAAAATTTTATTTTATTAACATTATTACACTATTTCCTCTCTAAAGAAAAGAGAATTGGAGCACAAGTAAGGCAATAAAGAAAATTTCCTTTTGAATTTCCTTTTATTAAAAATATATAATCTATTTTGAAAACAGAAATAAGGCTTCAAAACCAAATATTTTAAACTTTTCCGAAATTTAAACGCTAATCCCAAAATTGAAAATATTTTATTATTCAGATTCTTAATGTATTTTAATGTATTTTAAAAAAATATACAGTAAATTTACCAATGAATCGTTTTCATATTGCACAATATCCAAAGTATTTTCTGCAGGAAGTACTGGGTTTCCACTGTCATCAACATGTACAAGTTTAAATTCATTCTAAAAAGTTATGAAAAAATAATTAGACAAATCCTTCAGACAAAATTTCAAACACAATAACAAAATGAATAAAGCGACAAACTTTGCAGTTTTTATTAGTTAATTCGGTTTCACCATCAGCAGCCTTATGCTTTTCGCTTAAATGCACATCTATCATTCCTGCAGCTGATGTTAAAAAATCACATCCTACAATCGGACAGTCATACACTTTTCTCTTCGTACAATTTTTTGAGGAAGTTAATTTACGCCGATTAATATATAATGAACGTGCAATGCTCGAGTCTGACCATGGTCTACCACCGTTACCACCACATATTATATTTTCCATTTGTTGGATTTCGTCTTCACTAAATTAAAAATAACATCAAGAACAATACCTCTCATAATACCACCCATCTAAACTCATTTTTTAAATTAACTCAACATTACCTTAAGTGTGCATACTTTTCATCTTCTCGAAACCTTCTTAATACTTCTTGAATCTTTTCTCTAGGTGTCATGCCATCTTCGCTAATTTCTGTACGCGCGCGAATCATTGCACGACGTGCCAAAACCATAGCACGATCTGACATTGGATTTTCAGCAAACCCACAAATATGTGGTGTTCGAGGATAATCCGGATGAACCAAAAATCTGCCATCACGTACGAGAATCCTAGCTGGTGGTCCGAAATACATGGGAGGTACCTCTCGTTTACCTCTATCCTAAAATTTAATCATTTAAAAAATGTATAAAAATACATTTACAATTCACCTAATATTTGAAATTAAATTATTCGAAATGAAATAATATAAACTAAATTTAACTAAATAAAATGAAAAAAATTTGAAAAAAATTCACTTGTAATCTGCGGCATAAAACGCATATATAATATTTTGTTTCTCGTCCAGGTTCAGCCCTTAATGACCATTCTGATATTTTATTTGGATATAATTCGCTATTAAAAAGAATAACAGAATTTTGACGCATATTTGACAATTCCTCCCATGTAACTGGTCCGTAATCTTCACCCTTCCATTCTTCTTTCACACGGTTTTTTAATTTTCCACTATAAGATTTCATTGTTATTTCCTGAAAAGTTGTTGATAAAATATTAATTTTTAATCTATATAATTTTTTGCCGATATTTACCAGATGTAAACCTAAAGAAAATTCATTAAAATTCCTAAAATGCCAAATCCCTTATGAGAGCTGAGTTTCCTAATAATCCGCAATAAATATTGCCGACTAAACTAATATTTGAATGCAATTCGGTGCAAATGAATCGATGGATCCGCCATAAAAAGATACCATCGATTAAAGCATCGATCTGCTTACTACCACCAAACCAGTATTACTAGCATTTTCATTAACTTTAATACTTCCAGTGACATTCCAATGCAGCGTCTCACATTAAATACGCCAACTGAATCAATATTAACGTTTGCACTTAGAATGCACCAGTTCAGTGCGTATTTAATGAATGGTACCAACGGAATGAGGAACGGTGCTTCAGGTGGACGACAAATAGGGGATTTTATTCGCATTTCCTTTCACTAAAAAACTTGACATTGGAGGCAAAATCGAAGAGAACTGTAATTCGATTCACAACTGACTTCTCGTCAGTTTTGCAAGGAGAAACCAAAAGTGTTATTTGGAAAAAATGAAGCGATTTCAATCAATAATCATCACCCATTCACATAGCGGAAAATTTCCATTTTGTTAAAACGAAAATCGAAACGATTTTTGAAAAACCGTAAAAACAACGACAAAACTCGCAAGCATACGAAAGGAAAAAGGGAAAAGACGACCACCAGCAATGCCGCCGAACCACCAATACACCACTGAGCAAACTTAGAATACTTGTGCGGCGCACTTCAACCCAATTTTGATTCTATCCATTTCATGTAATCGTTTCGAGACCTACAACGGACATTAAATAGGAATTTCGTGGATCTTTACAAACCTTTTTGGCCCTTCGGACTCCATCTAAAATCTTTTGTTCATAATATTTTGTTTAGGAGCATTCGACATTATTGGCTAAGCGTGTTCCGCTGATTTGTTGCACTAGCCAAGGAGTCTGTTGGCGATGAAAGTACAGGTGAATCGTCAGCACCAAGGTTTTTGGACAGTTTTAATTTAAAATTTAATGCCTGGAGTAGAACTGCAGCACCGGCTCTCCGAAATGAGAACAATTCACTGAGCCATTCTTCTCTCCTTCTGCTTTTCTCCGTTGGGCAGCAATGGCGTCCGACGAAGAGTGGGACGTTGGCGGATTCGAACCCAACTCGAACTCGATTCTCGGTGATAATTATCTTACCACTAGGCCAGCGGCTTACAGCCATAAAATGAATTGTTCCTGACGGTGGTGATTTTAACAGGACAACTGTTTTCTTTATCACCTATGCAATCTACCATCGACGAAAATCGCATATTGTTATTTAATTAAAACTAAAATACATCTGTTCGTTTCTTATTAAGGAACATGCGACCAACATCTACGATAAATGCCTCTGTAGTGGTAAAATCAAGTGGATTTCAATATGCCAGTTGCTTCGGTTAAGGCCGAGCCAGAGTTTAACATTGCTAGCCAACAGAGATGGCAAACAAATCAGAAATGGTGAATACTAGTAGATGGTATTAAATGGTGAATTTTTCATGTGTTGATTCTGTAATCTTTTTCTTTTGGTTGTTTGGTATTGGAGTAGGTAGGTCCAAGATATTTAAAGTCTGGCATTTTCTCAACACATGAAAAATTGGCAAAAATAGGTTTTTATCGACATTTAGTATGAAGCGAAGAGTCTTGATCGAGTACGATTTTTGCTTGATACTGGTGTCTCTTGCATTCTTCATAATTCATAATTGTCAATAAAAAGAAGTACGTCAGCTTATTCAAGATCTGTTGTACCATGCTCTAGACTGGCATCTTAAGTGCTGACAAGAACTGTCCAACTGTAGACGAATGAGTGCAGCTGTTACCTATATTGGTTCCATACGGTAGGCTATTCAGTTCCCTATGCCGATGCTAAAATGTAACTTTGTACCCGATTACAGAGTGCCGTTCTATTAGTTCATTTCGAAGATAATAAAACAATTGGGTAGGCGATATTTTTTACAGTATAGTATATTATAAAAATTAGTTGACATCTGTTTTTTTGTGGTAGATAGATAAATTTTTTTGTTGGATACCACTAAGAAATGTTAGTTTTACGGAATAGTACCATCTGTAAACCAATTGTTTTATCAGAATAAAGGTTGATTTTAAAGAATAGAAGTATTCTTTTGTGAAACGAATTGCATGATCTGTAGATCTTTAGGATTGTTTGCTCAGATTTGAACCAGTCAATTTTCGTTTCATTAGTTTCATTAAGTAATTTAAGGCAATTTCTGAATGGTGCCTGCGAATCACATTTGTTTCTGTCCAAGTGATTCCCTGAGGAACTGAACAGTTTGTCTGGATTATCTGGTCCGATAAGCTAGCGGAGCAGGTCTAAACAAAAATTGCTAATTACTGCAAAAATAAAAAAAAAACTTGCGACTTTGCATTTGAAGTTTTTTATTTTTTTGAATTTTTGTTATTTTTTATTCAAAATTTGTTTATTTTTTGCAAATTTTCACAAATTTTGTGTTGTATGATTCATTCCATGAAAATTTTTTCTTCATTAACGACAAATAATCATGCAAAACTATTTTTCACATTAATTTTCTGCAATTTAAGGTCCAAACTGTAATAATTTACAAAACTTATGATTAACCGCAATTTATTATAATCGTAATAATTGCGGGTTACTGATGACTGGAAAGGATATTTGCAGCATTTTAGCGAATAATAATTTTACAGTTCAGTCTCGCCAAGCTAGAAAGTCGTTCTCCAATCTTAGAAATGTTATTTTTCGATTCTATCAAATTCTAAATCAATTTTAAATTTTTAAGACATACATTATCACCAAGGTTAAAATTATCTTGTACGATGCGCTAATGCTGGCAAAGTTGAAAAAGTTCTTAGTTCGCTCAGAATATCATAGGGAAATACCCAGCTGATCTGGGTAAGATCTCCGGAGGATGTTTCAATTATCACTCGTCCCAATTCATTTCCAGACGTGTCACTGTGGTTTATTTATGAGAAGTGAAATTGCATATTACTTGCCTGAGTGGTTCTCGTGACCCATCTGTATTTCGATCGTATTTCAAGTGAATCGCCAGAAAAAATTTTTAACTGAATTGGCCTAACGAAAAACGGTGATTTCTTCCTTAATAATGTAAAGATATTTCCATATATGTTTATGTTTTAAAATAGTTTTTATCATATTTATTAATTTTGACGAGTTCACAATCGTTTTATTTATAAATTTATATCACAAGTCATTTCCTTTACTTGCACAATATTTGTTTTAAGCCATTTGATATCTCCGAGTTTACATTTTCCACAATTCAAGGTAAAAACTATAATAAAATTTGGTCATGGACTAGCTTCTGCTTTATATTCTATTTCGAAATCATCAAAGGTCATCTTATTTTTTAATTTTTATTTTCTCGTCGATTTTAGCTCTTTTTCCCTTAAAATTTGTTGTTTTCAACATTGTCTTCGACACAACTTAGAGGGAATATTAAGTAAACGGTCAGCGCTCATCATTTCTGATTTGCTCGATTGACTGCCAGTATGGTTGGAAATTTCGCCAGGAAATTAATTGGTGATAGAAGATGGGTTCGCATCACTCAAATTTCTTAATGCAGATTTTGTGCTGGCGAGGACAGCGGACGAACAATGAAAAATGCTAGTATGCCATATATGAAAATTCGATGATAAATTAAGATTAAAACTAGTAAGAAATTAAGGCAAAAAAATTTTGCGTATTTCAAATATTTATATATAAATTGGTGACAAATTCAGGTTTAACCTGGTTCATTTATGATTCTTATATTGTTCTATTGAAGAGGGATTAATTCTTTCTTTCATGAAATGTGTTCGATGTGTCCTCGTTCAATGTTATTCGCAAAGAGACCAACTTGTTTTGTAAAAGAAAACGAGTGCGTACATTCTTTTATGGTTCTTCATGTGGCATTTTGTTAATTTTTATAATTCATTGTAGGAGAACCAATTTATTTCTCTTGCTCTTATATGTTTTATTTATAGCTCCTGTTCCTTTTTCTCAGTCAACAACATTCCTGATTTAATTGACTCTAGTAGGACATGATTTTGCTAGAGAATACTTAGGGACGAAAGCTTCCAGGTGGCCCTCTAGCAACACTCGGGCCTTATTTTTAACTGCGACCATGAGGAGACATGGGTCCAAGATGGTAGGCCTCGCTTGAAGTGACCTTACCATCTTGCCGCATTTATCTTATATGAAGATAACATTAATATAGAAAATATTTTATTTAGTAATGTTTGAATTTTTTCTAATATATATAATATATATTTCTAATATATCTATAGTAGGGTTACTTTAAGATATAATCTATTTTCCTTTTTTTATCTTCACATTAATCTCAGTTCTCTAATTTTTTATGTATCATATCTGATAATTTCTTTGCAGCAATGAATGCAGCATTCATTTGATCAAATGGAAATAGGAATCTTAAAAAATTTTGATTCCATTCTTATCCATTTTTTATTTCATTCTTCATTTGAACTGTTTACTTTTCTTCTTTGCTTGGCTTATTTTCCCTACAATCGTATTTTTGGTCAAAAATTCTTTTTCCTCATTTAATAAAACTCGTCGTTTCTTCTTTTTATACCAATTACTATGAATTTTATGGTTCTTTGCGGTCCTTTCATCGGAGATTCACCTTTCAATGGTAGTTTATTTCTATCAAGAGACGTGTGTGTTCGTTAAAGTGTAAGAATTTGTTTATTTTGTCCTATTCAAACAATTTTCTTGTTCAATGAGCTTTGACGAAACATTCAAAGATGATGAAACTTTCGAAATTTCGCAATGGACTGGATTTGAAATAATTCATTCGAAGCGAACTGGTACAATTGCTATTCTGTCCACAGCGAGTTTAGGTTTGACTTAGATGTACAAGTAAATTAGTGCTTGCTCATCATTTCTGGCTAAGTTAGTCGTTAATCCTTGAAATTTTTGCCACGTGATAAAATTTCATGAATCTCTAGCACTATCGGCTGTTTTTTAAAATAAGTTTACTCCTGCATCCACATGATAAAACCGCTGTCCTCTCGGTCATTCTTTCCGGTGCAGTCGAATAAAATAAAAATAAATTAACCTAATAAATATCAAAATATTATAATATTATAATAATAGTTCAGCCAAAATGGGAATTTTTTTTGATGAGGAAAACTAAAATAATTGAATTTTTTGAGGAAAAAAACATTCATTCATTAAATTTTTGTAATTTTCATGTTAAGGAATGAATTTTTTATCGCGTTGATGAAATTTTTTTTTTATCATTTTAAATTTGTTTTATTTCATCGTTTAGGTATTTGTCATATAAGTAAATTTTATAAAATTTTCGCCAATATTTTACATAAATGAAATTTTTGTTCATTTAAAACACTTTTTGAAAATATAAAAAAATTTAAAATTCA